ATTTAGTAATATATCAGTTAATTTTCGTGGTCATCATATATTATATTAGATAATCGTTTTAATACAATTATAAAGATACGAAACATTTTCACGAGAATTAAAGTATTTAGTGTGTATATTTCATGTATATGTATGAGCGAGTGAATTGTATCTCAATCCCAATTTATACTAACGTCATAATAAAATTATATATGGATGTAACATTTTGTATAAAAGAGATTAGAAACTACGAAAGTTAAAGTATGCAGTCTGTATGTATATTCTCGCGTACAGTATGTATATGCGAGTGACATACATAAAAAAAGAAAAGTAAGCTGTATATTTATTAATTAAATGTAGCATTTAGAATATGTTAACTATAATTTTTAAATTATCATTACCTTTACATATATTTGTATTAATCATTATAGCTTTTAGATAGTTTTTAATGTTTTTCTTATTCGCTCTAGCAGCGCGAAGTGTTTTTACATAAAAAATCTTTCTATTTAAATAAATTTTTTTCATTTTGTTTTTAAATTAATTGTGATATAATTTTTTTAAAGAAGAATTAAGTCACTTGGTTTCGAATAGGAAGATCTTTTAATAACAATACAAAGGCATATACTTAGGTTTCATTGTATGAAGATAAAGATAATTCCACTTAGGTTTTACTTTTAAATTTAGTGGAATTTAAATAATAGTACTATATGGGTTCTTAAAGATTAAAGGTACCACTTGTGTTTTACTCTTTAATTTGGTAGAATTTAACTTGGCGCCGACTGTTGATATCAAATCTTGTATACAAATGATAAATGTCATTAAAATTAAGTAAGTAATAAGGTAGAATAACTTGGCGTCGACTACTGTTATCAAATCTCTTATACAAATAATACATGTCATTAGAATTAAGTAAGTAAGGATAATATCATGTAGGTTTTTAAAGATGGTTCTACTAAACAGCAAATGTGATTGGTCAATTTTACAGTCGATTAAGTAGTTGACGTTGGTGAAACTGGCCCAAATGGTTTTTCGATTCTTATGTACTCCAAAATCTTGAATCAAATATAGTGTTCTATGTGATAAAAATAACAGTTTTTTATATTTTAAAAATGAATATCACAAAAAATCAATATTAATTATAAAAGAATTCTTATTAAATTGTTTTACCATATTGTCTACTTTAACGTAATACATCTTTATTATTGGAAGATAATGAAATGGTAAAAAACCTTAGCATACATAATGATGTATTCAAGTCAGACGTAAAGTTGGCAACTGTTGGTGTATGTTTACTTTGATGAACCTGGCACCTTCAATAATATATGAGTCATTTTTCATGGTAATATGTATAATAGTATTTTTTATATACGTATTCATTTCCATTTCATTAACTTTCAATAGTAATATAGAAAACTATTATAGTTTGATCTCTCACCTAGAACACTAAATTTGATTCAAGATTTCAGAGTGTAAGTTAACAAGTTTTCAATCACGTATATTTTCATAAGTATACGTTTACAAATTATTATTCTAATTAATAATTAATATCGTGATTGTTCTGATAATCAAATACGCTAATAAACGTAATAAGTGTTTTGGTATAATGTTACTAAGAAATTGATTAACAGAACAATCGTTCCTCACAATATTAATTATGAATTGGAATAATATTTTGAAAATGTATAGGACTTATGAAGATACACGTGATTGAAAACTGTAACTCACACACATGTGCTTCAAAGTCTTGAATCAAATTTCTAGGTGAGAGATCGAAATAACAGCTTCTTGTATTTCAAAAATGAATCACAAAAGATGAGTATTAATTTCAAAAGAATCAGGAGACGCGGTAGCGTCTCCGGCCATGTTCAAAAACTCAGAGACGCTACAAGTCTTTCATCCCGAGCAACCAAAGTCCATTTTTGAGAGGTGCATAACTACTAAAATATAAAAAATTTTGTATCAAACGTTATATGTCCTGAAAGGCGGCATCACCACGAGTAATTTGAGCCAAAAAAATTTTAAATCGATCAAGCCGTTCTGGAGATATAAGCGATCAAAGAGTGGTGATTTTAATTAAAAATTAAGAAACGTCTCCTTCTTCTTCTCCTTCTTCTTCTCCTTCTTCTCTGTCCGCATTCAAAATTTTTCAAACCACCATTTAAACTTTTCGACATCCTCTCTTACCTTTCACTCGCAGCAACACCATTTTCGGCCCACCGGACCTCCTCCACCCGCCCCTCCCCCTCCCCCCCCCACTGCCTCCCGCCACCCCTCTCTTTCACTTTCACTCGCACCTGCACCTTCTTCGGACCACCGGACCTCCTCCACTCGCCTTCCCCTTCTCCCCACCACCCACCCCGCCACCCCTCTCTTTTGCAGTATTTCACTCTTCTTCATTATTACAACTCTTTGACATCCTCTCTCACCTTTTACTCGCACCACCACCATTTTCAGCCCACCGGATCTTTTCCACCCGTCCCTCCCCATTTTCCACCACCCCTCTCTTTCGCAGTAATTCACACTTTCTCGTTATTACAACTTTTTAACTTCCTCTCTCACCTTCCACTCGCATCTCTACCATCTTCGGCCCACAGGACCTCCTCCACTCGCCCCTTCCCCTCCCCCCACCACTCACTCCCGCCGTCCCTCTCTTTCGCCGTAATTCACACTTTCTCGTTATTACAACTTATTAACATTCTCTCTCACCTTTCACTCGCAAC